ATCTAAAACATATCAATCCAGTAGATAATGAATGGAACCCGAAAATCTGCATCTATAACAGATTGATGCTGTCGTCGGAAGGCTACTTTGCTTGAGAAAGCCCCGAGTGGAGACTGGAGGGGCACCGCAGGACACTCAAGTTCCACACCTGCACTGACGTCACGTCACAGGCTGGTAATCACTTGGTCCCCCGCAGGGCATCCTGCAGTTCACCCATTCCTGTCAATCAACTTGACGTACTACAAACCCCACCCCCATGTCGCGCGCTTGTGACGTATAGACGTCTTCACCGTGACATCGTGACCTCTACTGTAAATAGTCACCGGCAAGGAACCCCACGCCGAACCGCGACCCCGAGCGGCCGGTACCTGAGAAAGACCTCCGTACACCAGTGCGCAGGCGTCCCACGGAAGCAGCCGCTATCGCTCCCGCGGCGCTCATCGCTGGTGACAATACAGCCACGGTACAAACGCCCCGCCAATCGTGCTCTCGACTCAGGGTGATGACGCATGATGCCGCAGACCGAGAGCCAGCGGAAACGCCCCTAGGCCCTGGATTACACCCGATTGGTTGGAAATGACCGATGCACATACCCTATTGGGTGTGTTCCCTGTCGATCATTGGGACTTTGTGAAGGCGCCTGGTCCTCTCTGAGGGTTGATGCAGTTGCCCTAGAGAGGCAGTTTACGAGGGCTTCCTACTGTCCTGGGAAGGCGACCCGCAGGTCATTTTTGTTTCCTCCACGTTATAGAGATTATTTTTCTCTATTAAGAGCCTATTTACACCTAAAAACAGTAGCAATTACCTGGTAAAATATGCCAGTTTTCGGTGTTATTGTGGGTTTGACAGTTTGTTTCACGGTATTTCCTGTTCCTTCTCAATTTTTATATTGAGATTTGTTTCGTTGTTCTTCATACTTTTACTGGATTATTCATGGCCTAGTGCACATTAGTGATGAAGATAGCTGTGTGTTGAGGGAAGGAAAATTTAGCAACATATATTAAACATTTAAAAGTGTATATCCATTAATATGACAGCTAGGGTGTAGCCAATAGAAGTGAAATTTCAAGTCAGTTAAGTATATAAGGGGGAGCCGGGCAGTGGTGGCGCACGCCTTTAATCCCAGCACTTGGGAGGCAGAGGCAGGCGGATTTCTGAGTTCGAGGCCAGCCTGGTCTACAGAGTGAGTTCCAGGACAGCCAGGGCTAAACAGAGAAACCCTGTCTTGAAAAACCAAAAAAAAAAAGTATATAAGGGGGGAAAAAGCATACCTGCAAGGATAATCAGTGTCTATTATAGACCAGTAGAGACTGGCTTTAGGAAAGCTTCAGTTTGCACCCTTGGTTTTTTTTTTTTTTAAATGTATTTGAATCATAGCTACTGTAAAATAAGTAGATACTAAGCTACTCTGTATAACTATAGTGTTCAAATTAGTATACTACAGTAACTTAAAATTAAGACAAGCCCAAGTACTGGGCCTTAGCGGCAGTGAGGGTACTTTTAACATTCCTGTGTAATGCGCAGCCTAAATCTGTCCCTTAAAGCCTTCACTGGTCAAAACCTTTCCCATGTATTTCACTTCTAGATCTGTCCTAAGGAGATAAAAGAATGTTGAGGTGTATGTCCTAGTTATTACTGGAAGTTAAATGTTAAAAATTGGGGCGAGAGAGCTCTGAAGTTGAGAACACTTCCTGCCCTTGCAAAGGACCTGGGTTTGGTTCCCAGTGGCCACATCAGGAAGCTAACAACTGCCCGTAACTCCAGCTCCAGTGGATCCAGCACTCTCCTCTGGACTCTCTGCACATATGACACACAGACAAATACACGTTTAAAAAAGTTATCATCAAGAGAATGCGAAACACTATGATTCATGAGCGTAGTTAGCAGCTCCCTGAAATGTGTGTAATGGTTTGAGTTCAGGTCTGATTATGTCACTCGGGCTTGCCTCAAACTGGCCATGCAGCTGCTTTGACCTCTGGAGCTTACAGGTACATGTCAGAACAATGAACTTTGAAAGAACTTTGGATAAAACAGTAGAACATTTAAGTAGGAAAGATGAGACTACTACAGTTTCTTTTTCACCCATCTGTGCTTGCTTGCTTGCTTCTTCCTCTTTCTCCCCTCTCCTCTCCCCCTTCCTTCTCTCTCTCTCCTTCTTCTTCCTCCCCCTCCTGCCTCTCTGATTATGAGACAAGAATCTCACCTTGTATCCAGGTGTCTTTCAACTTGCTGTGTGTTGTCCAGGCTGGCCTTTGGTGCCCCTGTACTTTATTTAAAAACAAAAACCACTTGTGTGCTTATGAGTGATTTTGATTTTCCTCTGTAGTTTTCAATGGCACTTTCTATGGTAAGTACTTTTAGAGTTTCAAAAGAGAACAAAGCGATTGTGCTTCCCTAATCAAATTCTGAAATATAAAAGCAAATTTGTCTTAGTTTTGTATTTTAAGTGTAAGGGAACTGTCTCTGAAGGTGAAGGTATCTGTTCCCCAGTCACACAGCAAAGAGCACATCCCAGATTTCAAACATTTCTCATGCTCTGGACAAGTTTCTGGTAAAGCCTCACTCTATGGAGTAAAGATGTGTTTAGAAGTTCTCATAGGGTCAGCTCTTGTACAAACCAGGAAAAAAATGAATTCTTCTTCCCAAATTCTTCTTCTGTACTATTCTTCCCAAATAGTATAGTGGCTAGCTGCCATCAGATTTTTGGCTGCAAGATCTGATTTGCCAACTTAACAGTTAATGCAAACTAAAGACCTGTCTAACTGGATTCTCCTTCTTTACTGGGATGAGAACATTTTGTGGCTGCAAGAAACTGCAAGTCCACTCTGCCAGAAAAAGGGGGGGGGGAGGGAGAAAAGAGAAGGAAGAAAGAAAGAAAAACAGAACAGGAACCTATAGCAGAAGAAGGGAAATGAAAATGTTTGCAAAGGCTTCTAAAGTTCAATTTTCCAGTTTTTGCATGGGGGAAAAAATGACAATATTTACTTCAAGTCCCCAACAGTGGTTGCATAGTTACCAGAAATGTGTATCACCACTGTGGAATACTAGATGGCCACTAAAAAGGGGAGCTACTTGCAGAGAACATCAAGATGTTATTAAGGAGAAATTAAAAAATATGTATTCACAACACACAACCAACACATATATAGCTACTTTCAATATTTATATCTTTATAAAATAACAAAATAAATACAAACAGTGGGTTTCAATGGTAGCAAGATATAAAAGGCTTAAGATATCTTTGTCTTTGAAGTTCAAGACATACAAACATGCTTTTCTTTGGCTTCTGAATAGCCAAGAGGAGACAAGACTCATCTAATACATCCATAGATGTCAAAATGCTACTTTCTCTAACTGCAGTGACACAGAGCAATTTTAGAGTACTCCAGTTCTCATCACCTCACTGGTGATGAGGAGCTTCTGTGGGTTCGAGGACAACCACAGTTTAAAACTTTCAAGACACTGTATCAGTAGTTTAACACACACCTGTTAGAGAGCCGCACTTTAAAACAGACATTGCCTGGTTATTCAAAGTTATCAAAATATTCAAGTAAGAAGTGTACACGTTAGCAGCACTAACTAAAACCAACATACCAAGTGACATATTTTGCTTCTTTTATAATAAAGAAAAATATTGCTCATTTTATCCACTATTCCTACAAACCCAGGGAAGCAGATAACCCCCAGGGCCACAGTGAGGACAAGAATATTACATGAAGGCACTAGGTAAAAATGCCAACAACCAGAATTTGTAGAATGAGAATGGAATGAACTTTGATTTACTCAAAACTCCTGTTCTTAGCCTTAAATACTCACAGATCTTCAAACACAAGAAAATGTTAGGCAGCCCACGTTCTCACAGAAACAAAAGTACCCAGGTTAACAGCCTCATGGGAGATGAAAGAGATGATTGTGCTGAGTGTAAGGATACAAGTTCCACCTTCAGGTGTACATATGCACATACACACACATACACACACACACACCTGACCAAGGGCCCTTTATACACATACAGACAT